CCCTGCCCTGTCTGATCTGTTACTCTATTTTCTGCTTCCTGCCCTATGTGCTGCCAATATGCTGTCTGTTCCCTCCCCAGTCTGTTGTGTGTCATGCACAAAGGCCGTCCATGTCACTTGTGGCACATATGCGACAGTTTGGCCATCCTTGGTGTAGACTATTAAAGTATTCAAGCATAAGAAATAAGGGAAAGGAAAAGCACGTGTGTGTTGGGAAGGATAGTGAGCAGCACAGATTGTCTAGTTCTTGGGACTGGTTGATTTGTAGGCTGGGATATTCATCTACAGAACAAAACTGTCTGGCCTTCTTGCACATAGCCTGGCACACAGTTAAGTTATAATACAAATTAATATAAACAATATATGTTACTTATTATAATGCAGTTTGAATTTTCCAAATGCATTTGGAAAAGACAAATATCCTTATTTTACAAGTGGGAACAACTGAGTTACGGAAGTTAAGGTTTATAAGGCATGCAAAATGTATGAGAGCGCCTGGGATTGTGCATGCAAGTTCCTCAATTGTGTGCATGAGAGCATACACACCCTTTTCTCTCCTAAGTGACTTCTCTGAGGTCACAAGCAAGTGGCAGAGCTGGGATTGTAACTCAAATCCCTGGCTCCCAGTCCATACTTAAGACATTAGATCATGCTATTGATGTTGTTCCTTTGTGGCTATATCCTGCATGGTTGGGTTTTTTTTGTTTATTTGGGGGCGGGGGGACGGGGGGTTGTGGGCTTTATTCTTGGATTGATTGGCTGGGCTAGGGAGACTGGTATCCTACTAAATAATGAGTAGCTTTACAAGGAGGTTTTTTTCCCTCTGAAATCTCCAGTACTTGGCATGTTACTATGGGAAGTCTGTTTAGATGGACCACCTTTATGTTTATTCTTTCTATTCTTTCCCTCCTTAATTCTTTTCCATTTAGAGCCTCTGTTATAATACCAGAAGAAAAGATGCCTGAAATGTACAGCATTCTGCAAAGCATTCCCCAACGACAGATTGAAGAGATGCAGAGACAGGTAAAATAGATTATAGAATTTAAACCGTATCATGGTCACCATGTTAAATATGACTTTATATATAGAAACAGTGGGTATGTATGCCAGTTAAGACAGGGTGTAAGTTAAGTGTCTTATATATTCCTTTATTATTAATATTAAGTTTGTTCAGTTGTTGTCTTGTATGCCCTAAAATACAGGAACTGATGTTTACACAGTAACCTGAACACTTTTAAATACTGTATTTACAAAGATCAGTTTACCCATTTCTGGTGCAGCTAAATTTGCAGAACAGCTGTTTAGCAATATTGCACTACATTTTATGTCAGAAAGTAAAGAATACTGTATATGATTGCAATTGTAGAAGAACTTCTGAGTAAAAATTCGGTTACCTAAACTCCAAACCTGGAATTTCTACAGTATGTCATGTGAACATATATCATGGAATCATAGGACCGGAAAGGACCTGCAAGATCATCAAGTCCAGTCCTCTGCCATGGGCAGGAAGGTATTGGGCTCAGATGAGCTCAACAAGGTGCTTATCCAGTTTCATCATGAACACCTCCATGGATGTGGACTGTACCACCTTGCTGGGAGTGTGTTCCAGATTCTGGTGACCCTTTCAGAGAAAAAAGCTTTTTTTCTTATGTCCAGCCTGAATTTACCTTCAATTAGCTTATGCCCATTGGTCGTTGTCCTCCCTTGCAGTTCTGTTTGCCCTTCTGGCAGCCTCGTTGCACTGTTGGCTCATGTTCATCTTCCAGTCTATCATGACTCCCAGGTCCTATTCAGATGTTGTGCCAGCCAGTGGACCACCACCCGTACTGTAGTTATGGTGAAGGTTCTTCCTGCCCAGGTGAAGGACCTTGCACTTCTTCCTGTTAAACCTCATCTGATTCTGTTCAGCCCATAAATCCAGTCTGTCAAGGTCGTCCTGGATCTTTGCCCTGTCCTCTGAAGTGCCCGTGTTTCCCTACAGCTTGGTATCACCCACAAACATAATCATTGAGCTTTCCACCCCCTTATCAAAGACATTAATAAATATGTTAAAGAGCATGGGTCTGAGCACTAATCCCTAGGGAACACCACTGGAGATGGCCCTCCAGGATGAGACCATCCCATCGATTACAACTCTCTGGGATCAGCCTCTAAGCCAGTTGTCCACTCACCTCACTGTAGACTGGTCTAGCCCAGTAGTACCCTTCAGTTTGGTTGAGAGAATACCATGGGAAATAGAATCAAAGGCTTTACTGAAGTCTAGGTAAATGACATCAACCTTGTGCCCCTTGTCCAGATGTTTAGTTACCTGGTCATAGAAGGACACCAGGTTTGTCAGGTATGATCTACCCTCGACTGAGCTGTGCTGGTTGTTTCTTAACACCCCATCAGTTACCAGCTTGTAATTAACTGATGGTCTCCTTAACAAATTTTTCAAAAATGTTACCCAGGACCAAAGCCAGACTGACTGGTCTGTAGTTTGCAGGGTCATCCCTCTTCCCTCTCTTGAAGATGGGCACTACATTGGCCCTCTTCTAGTCATCGGGGACCAATCCCGACTTCCATGACTCTTCAAACAACATTTCCAGTGATGCTGCTGTAAGCTCAGCCAGTTCTTTCAGGACTCTTGGATGCAGGTCATCTGGTCTGGGAGACCTGAAAACATCCAAGTGTTGCAGAAGATCCCTTGTCTGTTTGGGACCGATTTAACATAGTTTGTTGTCCTCCCCATATTCCCTGGGTCTCTGGTCAGGTGAACTGCCCCCATTTGATTTAAGGAATACTGATGTGAGGTATATATTTAGAAGTTCTGCCTTTTTGCTAGGATTGACTGGGCTGCCCCTGAGTATTCAGTAGGGGTTCCACAGTGAAGCCCGATTTTTTTTTTTTCTCCCCTTGCTCCCCATGCATCTATAGAAGGACTTTTTGTTGTCCTTTTTTCCAGTTGCCAGCTTGACCTTATGGGATAGAGATACGCTCTTATGAAATAGAGAACGGGATTTTGTGTCAATAGTTGTCAAGGCCATCACAGTTTAGATTGCAGTAAATTCTATGAAATATAAAATCTAGTTCCCAACTGCCTCTTAAAGATATGATGGCACTTGTCATTAGCAGCAATGGTGCTAACCTCTGAAGCCTGGTCCAATTCTTGTTTTGGTAATTATATTATTTCTTGTGTTCCCCTTGCTTTCTCAATACACAGTAACTCAGATTCCCCCAGAGTGAAATTTTTTGATCGCTTTGTGTGCAAGTGAAGATAATTTTCTAAGAAACTCATACATCCTATGTGTAATTTCACCCTTTACATATTTAAATGGCTTTAAGGGAGAGACTGAGGATTGCCTCCGACACTGCAGTTGTCTATAAACATAACTTTTGGATGAGAGAGAGTACTTACAGAGTGTATTCCATATCTGAATTAAGCTGGCTGATTGCTGTGAGTTCCTGTACCTGTTTTATGACTGGGAAAGTTCAGGCCCAGAGAGGTGGTTACTTGTCTGAGGCCACGAGATGAATTGGGCAGAGTCAAGAACATGGTTAAAGAAGTTTGACTCCGATTTCTGTCCAGTGGAACTTTCTGGTAAAGAGTTGGTACTATGAAAAGTCTAAATCATCAGTTGCTTTGAGCTGGGAGTTCCTGTGTGCATATGAGTGTGGCAGAAGGCCACCTCTGTTTCTCCCCAAAAACTCTGCTTGGTGGCAATTTGGTTAGTATGGGCTCTGCAGAAGGTACACACTTTACCCTATCTCTTTAGGTAACTTGAGCTGGATACATTCCTGAGGGGGCTGGGAAACCTGCTACCTCTGCTTACATGACTGGCATCGCATACCTGGGTGAGGGGCTTGGGCTCCCTGGTGGGCTAGAGACTCTGCCAGTCTGCCCGTCAACCAGTGATGCATTTCAAATTGGTTGGCTAGCAGCCAACAGGTGCTGGCCTCCATTGGACCAGGTAAATAAGGTCATAAGGGCTATGTAAGTTAAAGACTGCCCAGAAGGAGGGGCAGTAGCCATGAGGAAAACTCAGAGAGAGAGAGAGAGAAGAGCTGGACCATCTGAAATTTGTTCTTTCTCTCAAAACTCATGATCAAGGAACTACCTGCCTCTGGATGATACTTGTGAGTAAGCTACCTGAGATCTAACTAGATATATAGCTTGATCAAAGGCTACTCCAGCCACCCTGTTTGCTCTATGGGATTTCTCTGATACTACTCAACTCTATACCCTATTCCAACCCTACTCCTTGTAACCAATGCAGTTCTCCTTTGTACCTAGCGTGGGAGACTTACTGGGAGTGGGTCTAGATTATGCCTTGGGGTCCCCTTGGTTCAGCTGACTAAGGGAGACCACTACTTGTGCTTCTGACTGAGGGAAGCATCCCAAGTTCTTGAAGTGAGTCAAGTACCCTCGAGAGCTACCAGTCTTGTGTTTCCCAGGGGACACTGTGCCAGAATCAAGCCTGTCCCTGGGCGGTGGCAGGTCCAGAAAGGGGGTGTGCTCCAGGAAGGGGGTCGGCCAGATGTGAAACATCCCCAGGGAGGCACTCAGAGCCTGGAAGGTGGTCCGGCACAGTGAGGTGGGTGGCTCAGCACAGGAGCACCTCCTGGCCTGCCACAATGAGTATTTCATTTGAACTGGTCAGCAAAATTGTTAGCCATATGAAGTTCTATAGGAGTGACTGAACGTCATGGGAAAGACTCTAGTTACAGAATTAGCATGCGGCAGGATTAGTTGTTATATTCAGAGCACCAAACTGGTACTAAAATATAATTACAGCTGGAGTCAGAAAGGGAAAAAGGTATGTGTGCCTTTTTCAAATACTTGTGTCTAAAGTGTTAACATGGCCCACTTCTGTCTGAATGTCTTACAAGTGTTAAATATGTATATCCATGTAACACCTTTCTAAGGTATGGAAATATTGCTTTCTTTATTGTAGAACTGAGGAACTAAGACACCAAAGGTATTTATTCAAATGGGAATTATACACCAAAATACAAGTTGAGAACCAAAATATCTTAACAAAATTGTCCTTAAATAACCTGCCTGAAATCATACAGAAATGCCTTTGCAGAGCAGGGATTGAATGCAGGTCTCTGGAGTTTGTGTGTACAACTTTAGCTCCAAAGCTGTCTTTCCTCCCCTGTTACGCTCATAAGTTTTAAGGTGTAGAAAATGTTGTTGTAAGTGGTTCAAGGAGCTGGAATTAGGATTCAGAAGATAAAATTTAGAAGGAAGGAAATATTAACTAATGGTAAGACTTCACCTGTGAATTAGTCTCACAAGGTTGAGAGGCTCCCTTTAACTGCCTCAAGCTAGACATTACTGGATGTTATACTGAGTGTAAGGTATGATACAGTCCTCTGTGTAGTGGAATAGAGAGGTAAATTTATTTCAGGTCTGATTTCTACAACTGGGTTATCTTTGTTCCATATACAGGGAGAGTCTTCTGCAAATATCATAACAGCCATCAGAGGTCTCCTTTCCCCTTTAGTCACTCCACAGTGGTTAACTATGTTGGCTGCCGCCTTTTGGTTCACTAATGGAGACCACAAGGAAAAGTAGCTTCTCTGTGGTGCTTGTAAGCAATGTAATATTGTTTGGGTTATATGGAAATCAGGGATTTTGAAGTTAATTTGATTTAGATTAATAAAACTCAAAATTAACGTGAATAATCTGCTACACGTTGCGAGAAATACTTAGCCGTTTTACTCTCAAATCAGACAGAAGGCAGGGCAGGCTGGCTTAAAGACCAACTCATTCGAAAATTTATAACTGTTATACGTTGTGATTTTAGGAGTTAACCATCTTGCTAAATCGGAAGCTATCTTTTCAGAGCAAGGAAAGTTTTCCTATGTATGGGAAGTACTTAGAATATTGAGAACTCAGCAACAGTCCAAATAACGTATAATGTGCACAGCTATAAAAACAAAAATGTATTTAGAAAAAATAGACTCTGTTAAAGGGAATGTCTGGGGACTGAGAAAAGGCTATACATTTACCCAAACTAATTGTAAACAGTGCTTAA